TTAAGGAAAGCCCTAAACCCTAAACCCTAAAGCCCAATAAACCCTAAACGCCTAAACAAAAAAGCATTAAACGTTAAACCCTCAACTCTAAACCCTTAAACCCTAAACCCTAAACCCCTAAGCCATCAACCCTAAACGCCCTAAAGCCCCAAAGCCTTTAAAAGAGTTCTTCCCTGGAGTCTTCGAGACCTTGAGCTCTGGCCTCAGGCATGACACGCTCCTGGCAGAGCTCGATAGGCCGGCGGATTCAAAGTTTCTTTCTGAGGTTCTTTACGGCGGTTCTACATTTCCATAATTCTTTAAGGGCTCTTTAGGGGCTCTATAGTTCTATAATAAGGGTTCTTTAGTGGTTCTGAAGTATTACAGGGTCTTTTTTTGTATCAGGGTTCAAGAATTCTAGAAGGGTCTTTTAAGGGTCCAAAAAGGGCTCTTTGAGGGATCTTGAACAATTCTTTGAGGGCTCTCCAAGTTCTGTCAGGGTTCCTTAAGAGTTCTCGAAGGGCTCTTTACAGGTTCTTTGCTATAGGGGCCTTAATCGTTAGAATAGGGTTTCGGGTATATTGTACTATCAATATAATAAGGACCCCCCCAAAAACCCTATTATATCATTAAGGCCCCTACATTAAGGGTTCTACAAGGGTTCTACTTGGTTCAGACCCTGCAACAGGGATCGACGGTATGCTAGACCGTTTGATTTCAGACGACAGGTATGTTTATAAGCCAAGAGCTCGATAAGCCACTAGAGAGGCACGGAGACACCTAGACAGTTCTCGCAACGAGACAGAGGGATATCTCAACCAAGCCACGGTGCAGGTAGTTTCGGATTTGTGGTTTTGGCATGTTTTGGCACTTTGGACCCTGGTACCCTTCCTAGTTAGAGAACATTGAAGCACGGTGCTTCAGAAAGCAATGCCTCTTGATGACTTCAATCTTCTCAGAACGCCAGGTTTCTGCATCTGCTGGTCCTTTCCGAAGCGTGTATAAGCCAGCAGATGCAGACGCTCTGTAAAGTTGGTGCAGGTTTTTGTTCTACGAGCATCTCGAACCCTGAAACCTGAACCCCTGAAGCCCCTAAATCCCCAAGTACTATAGGGGCCTAAGTAATTGCCAGCCACCTTTTTGGGGGTTCCTTATTGTCATTATAGTATAATATACCCCCTAAGCTCTCTTCTACTTAAGGTCCCTACACTGCTTCCTTATTGTCATTTATATCATATTATACCCCTAAGCCCTTGTCTATTTGGGTCCCAACAGCAAACGAAGTCGCCGGAGCATAGCGCCTCAGAGTTTCCAGGCGAGTGCAGACGAATGGGCTTCCAGACGCCGTAATATAGAGGCCTGAATAACTACCTCTACTATTTCCGGGGTTCCTTATTATAATCATAGTATAATGGGCTCCCAAACCCTATTTTTATAATTACCTATACTATTCTGGGGGCTCCTTATTATACTGATGGCATAATAATGCCCAAAAACCTTATTCTAATCATTAAGGCCCTATACTAAAGCCTTAATAATAACCCTTATAGCGACCCTTTACAGGAACCCTATTCCAATTATCAAGGCCCCCTATGTCAGACCCCCTTCCCAGGAAGGACCGTGCGACAGCTACGGTGATGAGGCTCGCTCCGCGGCTTCGGGAATTTATTCTAGCTTTTTTGGGTTGAGTGGTTTAGTGGTTTAGTGGTTTAGGGTGTAGTGGTTTAGTGGTTTAGGGTTTAGGGTCTAGGGTTTAGGGTTTAGGGTTTAGTGGCTTAGTGGTTTCTTTCGTACTTTTCCCGAAGCTCCCTGGGCTTGCGAAGTGTCGAGATTCGGCGCATGCAAGCCAGAGGCTCATGACAAACTCCTTGCCGGAAGGCCTCGTGATTTCCGATTTCCGCATGTTCAGGGATGCTTGCGTCATGTCTTTGAGCTCTTATTCCACCTGCATGGCAGCTCTTGAGATCCAACATGGCATGTCGCCTCGCCCCGTATGGTTGCAGAAGATGGAGGAGTGGGCAGTAGGGCACGAGGGAGAACAGCACTAAGGCCTGGAGAACAATGCAATGCGACGAGCCTCGTTGGTCATCGACCCCTGTACACCCTGTAAAACCCTGATTCCTGTGCCCACCGCCCTTACAGAGCTCTAAAGCTTGAGCAGAGCTTCATGTCTTCGCCTCGGACTGCGGCCTTACAGCCTCAAAAGCCCGTTATCGCAAACGGCAACCTCCGCCTTGAATCCCATGAAGCGATGTGCTCGAATCCACACCTCAAAAACATCCGCGCCCGGATCCGTAGCCCCTCCCACACGACCCTCCACGGTCGAAGCCTTGAAACCCAAAGCTGAAAGCCTTGGAGGTGGCTGGTACCGGCTAAAGCTCAGAGGCAAGTTGCCTGGGTTTGAGGGCTGAGGGTTCATGATAAGGGATTGAGAGTTTCATGGGTCTTCGGGTTGACAGGGATTGGGGCTTCTCTGTGCTGGCATGCTGGCTTGTAGCTTCATGCACTCGCAAGGCTTGCCTCGGGGTTCGTGCTTTGGTTCTTCTTCGAAACACCTATACTTCTTGGCAGTCTGCCACAACAAAAAACTTCACGAGAATACTACTACCACTACTACGACGACGACGTCTGGCACTACGACGACGACGACGACGACGACGACGACTACTACTACTACTACTACTACGACTACTGCTACGGCTGCTACTACGACGACGACGACGACGACGACGACGACCACGACTACAAGTATGACTGCGACCACGGCTGCTGCATCGAAGACTACCCATTTCCTGTGCTCCTGATGAATGGTGAGGAACCCGGAACCTCGTCAGAGTGCATCCAGCCCTGTACTCAGCGGCCATGGATTATATGCTGTGAGTGAGGGCTGAGGGGGAAGGGCGGGAGATGGGGGATCTATGGGTATCATGAGCCCCGTGCCCCAAGAACGCAAGCTTGGGGATTTTAGGCTTGAGTAAAGTTCAGAGGCACACTTCAGAAACCCTAGTCGTAAGCTCAAGATGGACTAGGCCCTGGTCTTCGAACAACACTCCTGAAATCTTGGACGCTTAAATTGTCATGCACGTGGAAGTTCATGGGACTTGCAGGGATTTTTGTGGATGAGCAATGCCCTTGAGGTTCGGAATGAAGCTTGGACTCCAATCCCTGAATGTACCCTGACTTGACACGGAAGCCCAAATCCTAACCCATGTCCTAAACCCTCTACGAATAAGGTAAGGGTAGTAGCTGCCGTCACCGTAGTAGTCGTATTGGTAGCGTCGGTGGCAATGGTGGAGGAGGTGGTGGTGGTGGTGGTGGCGGCATACAAACAGTCGTGGCCGTCATCGTCGTGTCGTAGTTGTAGTCGTCGTCGTCGATGTGCGCATCGACTGGTGGTAGGAGTAAGTAGGAGTAGACTTGGACTAGGAGTAGGAGCAGGAGCAGGAGGAGGAGGAG